CCTACCCTGTGCTTTCTAAAAGCAAGCTCTGCAGCTACTTTTAAAAGTAATTTTGAAACGTTAACATTCTAAGCCCCTAAGTACACACACAAGCTGCATTCTTCACTATGATTCTGTGGCCACATACATCCCAATTTCTCGTCTGTCAGAGACCCTCATAGCAGAGTAACACACAAAAAAATTATACAACTGACCTAGCAAAAATTCACTTCAGAAACACTGCCAAATACAGAGTAAATGTAAAAGTACTTTCTGTCTAAAATTTCTAAGCTTTTAAAGCAAACTTACAATTAACCCCTAAATTGAAGATTCTAGTACTAGTGAGACTTGAAAGAAAGCTTTCGTCAAAACTAGAAAAATCACAGAAATACAATCTTTCTATCTTTTTTTTTTTAATTCAGAGAAAAACTAAGAGGTCAATGGTCCTGGAAGTAATTGTATTTATCTTAAAAACCAAACCAACCACTAAACCCCACCTCCTTTAGAGCCATCCAAAAAGCCAGCATTCAAGGAACAGGGGAGTGAATCACTTCTTTTTGCACTTGGGAAGCGCTTCATGGAGCACCTACTCTCATTTGTGACCACAGACTTCTCTCATGCCAGCTTTGACCATACGGTTAGAACGAGGAAACGGTTTTCATAGTAATGAATAATTACTTGAACATTAACAGCAGTTCACACTAACTAGATAGAATCTATTCCAGCCTCTTCCTCAACCTTTTGCTATGCCTCACTACTCACAGACTTGCCCCTTTCCACCAACGCTATAATTTCCTCTTTCCAATGCACGTTTCATTTCCCAGGCACCTTCCACCTGCCCCAATGCTCCATTTATTTCCAACTGCTGGTCAATAATCACGCTAATTTTATCAGCTGTTAGCCTCTCATCCTCCTTGACTGCAAGGGTTACTAAGACAGGAAAGAAAAGCTAGCTCTATCTTCCTGACTGTTCACTATCCCTTTGCTGTGAGGAGTCTGCCCATCCAAGAACCACCGGAAACAAAGCAAGGTGACACTTAGTGGCAGAAGCTCCCACCACTACTTCAGTAAACCAGGAACTCATGATACAAAATACTCCATTCAGTCTCTAATAGCAGTAGGATTCTGAATCTTAAAACTGTATTACAGTCATTAACAGTGGTCACTGACAGTATTCTTACCTGCCAACTAAAAAACATGCAAAAGAAACATATTTGCAAAAGTTCAGTTATATTTCGGAATTTAAGTATCACAAGTTAGAACCAAATTTCATGAAAATAGCCTACACAGCATACAATCCAGCAAAAGATTTCGTGCTGTGTGTATTAATGTTTTCTATTTGTTAAACAATTCAGTTAAGAACATAGCATGAAGCAAACATGCATTTTCAAAGTCTCTTAAATATAAATATAGCAAAAGACTCGGTATTTTCACAATAAGAAAGAAGTGAACATATGTAGCTTAACTGAACTAATTTTGTTTGCACCAAGTTCTATAATGTATCTTAGTTTGTCAGTCTGCTTCATACATTTAAGTAGAAACTTTCACCTCCCTTTTTTACCAAGAGCTGTACTTTGCAGTTTTTACTCCTGAACAATATATATCTCCCTTACAGCGTTCCTAAAGCTACCCTACTTATCTGACCTCTTTGTTTTATTTCCTGTACACCAGAATCACCTCATCTACGCATTTAAAAAGCCTACAAAGATCATCTGTGCTCTCAGTCTGTCCATCCTCAAGCATAAGAACTCTCAAATCTTTTTACTTCCCTTTCTTCTTCAATGGAAACACTTTCCCACATCTACAAGGCCGTTCATAGTTCTATTCCCTGTAAACAATGCTAGCTTTAAGTCCCTATTTGTTACCGTTACAGAACTTCACACTGGAGTGGGTCTCATAACCCCCCCTAATCTCCTCAAACTCCACACTTGCCTATAGCAGCTGACCTACAAACAAGAGATGCACTGAGGGGGGTAGCTGTTCATTATGTTTTAAACACTTGCATATCGTGCACAAGGACCTGAAAGCAAGAACAAAGTTACCGCCGTTTTTTTCATATGTTGGATACACAAGTACTCTTTGGAAACCACCGATGTAACAAAAACTTGCAAGTACTCTACTATCTTTAGTCCAAGGTAAACTTGGAAGTCTCCAGAGAAACGATCAACTCTGTACGTAGTCTCTTTCCACAGAAACCACCCAGTAAGCAACTTTGAAAAATGCTTTGTTTGCACTGTATCAGTGTGGAAGGCTTAGCCGTAACACACGTGTTAAAACCTTAATTGAAAGCAATTGAATTTCTTAGCATAGATTACAGTTCTAGAAACACACAAGATTCTGCCATGGTTATTGCAAAAAGAAGCCGTAACCGTAAATACCTTTACACAGGTACTAAAGGTATTCACAAGAGGAGGTTCTACTATTTTCGAGTTATTAACTTTCAATCAATGTAATTATAGCCCTTACATTTTTATACACATACACTTAAATAACATTTAGCCAGTTGTCTTAACCACAAAAAAGTGAACCAGTCATGACCAAATGAGTCCCAGGTATCAGCATGCTACAGTACAGACTATTCCTGTTTCAATTCAGAGCAAAAATCACCAAGAAATACATAAAGGTGGCTTTTAATACATGGACTTGAAAGGGAGCGATTAGGTTAATTTGGCTTTATGTTCAGTATCAATATTCCAGATTTTTGTTCTGTTTTGTCTCCTAAAGGATGCGAAAGATTGTTTGTTTGGGACTTCAACACAGTTTGGGCAAATAAATACAGGAGATTTTTCAGTGAGGGTTGTTTTGTTAAGTTCAGCTAGATAGGAGGCAGTAACACCTTTGCAGCAGTTCCATGAAATGTACAGCAATTACAAACACAAAAAAATCCACAACTTTCCCCTCCCTCAAGAAGAATGTAAAAAGAGCCAGAAAACTACAGCAGCATCAAAACCAAATAATATTCTTCAGTCATATTAGTATTTCAATGAAAAATGTTAGCAATTTTTAATTCTTTTTTCCACTGTACGTGTGTAATTGCAAAACTAAGGGAGTGCTGTATCAATACCAGAACTTCAGTGTAATTCAACAGACAGAGAACGTGGTAAATTATTAATTATATCTTTTCCATATTAGCAATACACAAACATCTGTAATTCCACAGCATTTCACCTATGTTCTAACACCTACCTTCATACTGACAGAAAGATTCAGCAAATTAAAGACAAAGTTTTTATCCTCCTGCTCACATCTGCTCAGCTTTTGTTTACCACATAAAACAACACAGGATTTAATCCAGCTTTGGGTTTTTTCAAGCTATTTTAAATGCTGAAACTGGTGTCAAACTAACATTCCTAACAACACAAAAAATCACTTGTACAAATGTTCATCTATCTCCTAAAGATTAGTATTTCCCCTCAGACTGTTGAAGATACTTCCTTCTCCCAGTCTATTAAAATGTGACATGGAAAGGACCACTTTCAGATCAGAATAAATACATGAATAAATAAATTAAATTTTCCACTGTGTTAATAGTCCAAGGAAGAAAGAGGTACAGTAGGATAGTGTTCCCTTCACTTACAAAACTACAAATAATTCATTTTCCTCTGTTGTTACATCCATGCTTCAGGTCATTCCCCAACTATTAAATCCACTGGACTCATTGAGAACTTCACAATGCCTTTCGTACCCTAAAAACAATTCCCACATACAAATAAGCAAATATGCTTCCCATAGAGAGCCTCATTCTCCAGATGTTTTGATATATGCTTAACTCCACTGCAAGTAGCTCTGCTGAAGCAGAAAGAATTACTGATTGTAGCAAAACTAAGCAGAATTGCAAGAGTATGCAGGACAAGTATCTGGACAGGTGAACCATAAACAAAAGAGGACACCTGTGTTCTGAAAAGTAGCACAGAATAGCAGCTGGCTGGTCTTGCATATGCATTTAATTTTGAGATTACTATACTTTCAGATACAACGAAAATCAATGTACTTACAAAAGATGCATGTTTTTATAGCCCAGCTACAAAACTATATCATGTTATCTAGAGCCTCCCTATTAATCCAGATAAGGAAAAAACAAATAGGAATTTTAAGTACACTCAGGTACCATAGACACATTTGTGATGTGGAACTACTATTTCACAAAAGGTACTTACAGATATTTTCTTTATTTAACTATTAAGTTGTTAACTTTATAGAAAATGAAGAAGCGCTGATTTAAAGCTCTCAGTTCTCTGCTTTAATACTTCACTTTATAACTCGACACAAAAAACAAATATAGTACTTCAGAAACAGAAAATATGCTTCTAAATTCAGTCAGTAAACAGGATTTTTTAAACTGCAACTGTTATCAGTTTTTATTAAATGGAAAACCCCTTTCCTTTTTCTAAGAAGTGGGAATAAAAAACAACATCAGTTAAAAAAAATCTTGGGGATATTACTTCTGTCTATAATATCCTGTAAAACCACAGGAGGCTGACTTGACTGTGAATGTTCTCCTCTAAGCTCCTGCCAAGAGGGGCTCTCCTAAGTGCTACCTTTGATTATCATTGTGATTGTTAAGAGTTCTACACAGCAGCTAAATATAAAAATTTCTTTTTTCTTACAGGGTTTAGCCTATGAAGCACATAACTACACAATAAAACACAATACACAAAGTTATTAAAACACAGTCTCTAAAACAGCTAATATTTATTGTTAGTGAAAAGTCCAGACTACTATTTCATGTTGTCTAAATTCAGACATACCAGTTAAAAAAAAAAAAGAAAAAAGAAAGATCCACTTAATTTTTGTAGTTGTAAGAAAAACTACCGTACCTGTAAAACTAAGAAAATGAATAGGTGTTACAACGCCTAAATGATTGCTTCTAATGAAGCTTGCACTTCACTTTCACCGCAGTCTTCCAAGCATGGTACAAGGCATATTTAGTGTAACATCCTCACCATCTGAGTGATAAAGGCTTTTAATATTTATAAGAAATTAGTAACTGCTTAAATAAAGGTTAATTAAAGACAACTCACCACCATCCCTCTCTCTAACTCTGTGAGTATGCACACTTTTTGCTTTACTGTGCCCTGTGTTGTCACCATATTTGTTTTCAGGGCTATCAGAACGCCGCAACATTTTATTTGGTGGTGAAGGATCTGTGGTGTCTCGCATCTTGTCATGACGGTGATCACCGCCACCGGGGTGACTCTTGGATGAGTACTTAAGAGCCTGTAACAGATCACAAAAGAACAGGCATTCACATTAGATACGAAGACACAGAACCGATCTCTTTCCAAAAAAGCTTTTAAAAGTTAATTAATTTTCATTTCCTATTTTAAAAAAATCAGCATTAGTCTTTCTAATTTTAATTACCTACATTAATGCAACAAGTTCCATAATTAGAACTCAAGCCATTTTCTCCCACTACTACATCCAACATAACACTGGCTGTTAAGTAAAACCTACTTTCTCCATCTTTTTACCAATGAACTACAGACTTCCAGCTGTAAATGGGCCACGGTACTTCTGCACCTTTGGCAGAAGAAAAAGGCTCCACTTAGTATTAAGAATGTAAACAGAGGGTTACACTGACACTGAATCTGCAAACTGTGAATATGTCCTCCATACTGTAATCAAGGCTGCTCAGTTTCACCACTACCTTGAACTTCTGCAAGGTTTTGTCAGCACTAGTAACCCTTTAGCAGATATAATAAAAAAATCCTAGAATTCTGGGGGCCCAAAACATGTGACAATTCACTAGTAGGTACATACATACATCTACTTTTTATTACACGTTCTCCCTCCCTTCAACCTGCTTGATTTTACAGCATGAGCTTCCAAGTTGCAAGTGTTTACATCAACTGTCACTGACAGCTGCCTTCGACTGTCAGATTACATTTCAGTGATACAAATACACAGAAATGTAGTAATTCTGTGGCCTAAAGAGAGCAGTATCACAAAACATGGCATTCCCCAGATTCACTCCCTGAGAACTATTTCTACAGCAGACATAGCAAAGGAATAAAGTATCCACCTTACAGAAATTGACGTTATTGTCAACAGCTTAAAGATTTGATGTTTTCTGAACAAGCCTAGCAGTTGGCAACTGCAAAAATCGTCTCGCTGGCAACTCCAGTTATTCAGGGTCTAAATCCATGTCCTGCTCAGGTTACAGCCCCCAGCAGCAGTTTTGGGGAGAAGAAAGGACTTGGGGAGGGGGGTAGGGGAAGAACAAGATGCCTTTTGTTTTTAAAAAGAAAACACTCACCTCCCCCTGGATCTCCACTCCACTGCAAGTGACCCC